GACACTTACCAAGGAGGAAATCCTGGATAATCATTGGTCTGTTCTATGTTCCTTTGGAATTTCAACCAAAGACGAAGAACTTGATCTTCCTTCAATGTATTGGATACCTAACCTAAATAAGTGTCCTTACAAACAATGTTATATTGCTGGATCTTTCAAGTGCTCCACGAAACCTCTTTCTAAATTATTAACATCAATTTTATCAGCAATCGAATCCGGGCTTCGAAGTTATTGTGAAACTACCCATTCTAGAGGTGGCCTAGGCCTGAATCAGATGTGGATACTTAAAAATTCCAAAGATCTTTTAGAGTACATGCAATCTAAGACTCTTTCATCTTGCAATAGTATCAAAACATTTGAATTTCCTACACTTTACATGAGTATTCCCCATTCCAAACTAAAAGACAGATTGAGAGAGTTGGTGCTGCTTTGTTTCATAAAACAGAATGGCCTACGTAGATACAAATTTCTTGTCTTAGGGAGGGATAAATCGTAACAAATCACTTTTATTCATACAAAAAATTCTCTGAAACTGACATTATCCAAATGCTTGATTTTTCGCTTGACAACATATTTGTTACGTTTGGAGGATGTGTTTTTCAACAAAACAACTTGCATTCCAAAGGGAACCAACTGTGCTCATCTTCTTGTCGACTTGTTCCTTTATTCATATGAGGCTGACTTCATACAGAAACTTTTTTTTAGGAAGAAAGAAAAGGAGTTAGCAGTATATTTTAATTTCACTTTCTGCTATTTAGATAATGTTCTTTTCACTAAAGATTTCAACATTTGGAGACTATGTTGAACGCATCTGTCCAATCGAACTTGAGATAAAGGATACAACAGATACAGTTAAGTCGGCTTCGTATCTTGACTTACATCTCGAAACTGAAAATGATGGTCGGTTGAAAACAAAACTTCCCAATTGTGAACTTTCCATTTATGTAGCAACATTCCAGCAGAACCAGCATACGGAGGTTATATCTCACAGGTATTACGATATTCCAGGGCTTGTATTTTCTATCAGGATTTCCTTGATAGAGGATTGATGCTGACAAGGAAGCTAATAAACCAAGAGTGTCAAGTGGTGGAGTTGAAATCATCCCTTCGTAAATTTTATGGACGCCATTACGAATTGGTTGATCGTTATTCGGTATCCGTTTCACGGATGACAACGGATATGTCTAGTTGTCGTATCTACAATCCCGGCCCCTTTTCTCCGAATGTGACCTTCCGAATTAGACTTATCACCGGATTTGTACTATCATGAGCAACACGACAGGTGCCACATGTGGAGCAGCATATGCCTTCCCTTCCGGAGCACCTGAGATCACCCCAGTTTTGGTGGGGTTCGTGTTGCTCTGTCTTTTGTTTCCTCTGTTATGTTTTTGGTACTGTTGTTTGGCTGTTTGTCTTTTTCTTTTTTAGCCATGGTGTTGTCAATTTAATTTCGAATGAGGAGTTTGAATGTCCCTTTGGTATCCTTCGCCGCTTTTTGAAGCTATCCTACCTATTCATATTTTAGTACATGCCCTATACATTTTTATCATGTTTGAAAAATCACTATTTGAGTCAGACTATTACACCTGCTGAAACCATTTAAAAATAAAAGTATTTGCCTACCTTTTTTAATTTTTTTTTCAACACCATAGCGGAATAAAATGTATTTATTTATTCAATCTGAATATATCTTGAATGTACAAATATAAAAAATATTATAGTTTCTGGAAAGTTCGTCTATGAGTAATTTACAGGAACCCAATTTCTATTATTTCACCGGAAAGTTAAGATAAAATGACGAGATGAAAAATTTACACATAAAATCTATTATTTTTGTAATCGAAACCAATGCAAATAGACATGTGCAACGGACTCTCAGTAACTCTCAGTAATTCTCAAGACCTTATTCAAATCGATCTTGTTTCATCTGCGACCTTCACTATTTACTTTACTAGAGAAAGAGAAGATACATAAAATCTTAACACGTGACCACTATCATTCAATTAAATGGAATTTTGACCCGTTATATTCTTACAATTTGATGAAATTTCTCATACAAAATATAAATTCTAACTTTGTTTTTAACGTTGTACATGTTGTATCTTTGTATCCACAGAAAAAATTAAGTTAAATATAAGCCATTGTTTGCATGTTAATATTTTCATGTGAAAAAATCTTGACGATTGAACAATGTAACTAAACTGTTCTGCTAAAGATTCGATGAAAACCCGTTGTTTATTTCGAGACACAAAACAATGCATTAGATACCATCAACAGCATCCTTGAATTTTAGATATATAAGTGAACAATTAATTTTGTATGACACCAATGACAGAAAAAAGACTAGAAAATGAGCTAGGAATTACGAATAAATGTTGAAAACATGTTCACCAAAAGTGACAAATATTTTTTATAAACAAAATGTATCATTTAAATCATGTCATAACATAACTGTCTTCTTGGAGGATAGTACCCTTAAACCTTAGATATTTTTTTGGATGATTACTTGTACTCAGATTTATTAACGATATAATGGGTCTGTGTCTCAAAATAAAATCAATTAATAAAACATCTTTAGAAAAATGTATTTAATACTTATTATTCTCAACCCAAACATTTTTATTCGTTGGCTATCATTTTCCGTCAAATCAATAAATATTAGAATAATGCAATAGAATAGAAAATTTAAAAAAACCCATTTACTTAAAAATTCCATTGTAATGCGATATCATCCGAATTTGGAGCGCACGCGTTACGGAATAACGTTCATTTCATTTGTATGACGTCATGTTTTTATATGACATTAATGCGCAAAAGATCATTCATGGAATTTTGCTGAATTTAAATGTATTTAATTTTATAGATTTGTCCGAGCTCTAATGCATTAATTATTTTTGTTCTCCATTAGAAGAATAACAACGGTTCTGTAGCATTTCTTTCAATTTCAATTTTAAAACAGCAAAATCGAAATATTGTTTGCACATAGATTACGATACATTGGGATTTTTATGGGAAGTATATTATAACAGCAATAAATACGTACATCTTTGAGTCTGCACTTAGTATAGATAGAATTTTTTATGAAACGTTTCATGTTTTTTTTTTTTTTTGTTCTTCACATTGAAGACATTTTCCACATTGTTCACATTGTTCCTACCGGTTTCACTCCTGACGGAAGATATTCATGGTAAACATATGTACAATCCCACAAAAAACTATATATATATAGATAATTTAGCTGATCTGTAATATTCCATCTTCATACCTTATATACCATGTACTGTGTTACGACGCTAGATAAAAACTGACGAGGACAGATAACACCCGGCCACCAAAAGCTTGATTTTTATCGAGTCTAGGTGGTCGAGTGGTCTAGCGCGCCGTTCATAGTGCAAGGCGATTTGGTGCCACGATATCTCAGTAGCATGAGTTCGAATCCCGGCCAGGGAAGAACAAAAATTTGCTTCCATAAATTTACAGATCTAACATTGTTGGGCTGTTATTTAGACGGATATATGTATATATATCTATATATATAAAGTGCCCAGAAAATCAACCTAACGATGTTAGAGTAGATCTGATTCTTTACTACCTCCCCGAGCGGGGCTGGAACTTGCACTTTTTATTTCTCACTTCTACGACAACATCGCCTCGCATTACGCAGACGCCTTATCCCCTCCTCTAACTATAGCTGATATAAAATCAGCTTTCGTTTCGGGAGGTGTTACCCTCATGTAGGAATTAAAAAAGGCCATCTAACACAATACACGAATAACCCCAAGTCTAAATTGAAAACAACGTTCAAACCTATGATTGCGTTTGATAAAACCCGCATTTTTTATACGTGTGCATGCAAAACAAATTTCTTTGTAGAGGGGTCTAAATACAGCACAAACAACATTTTCCAAAAGACCAAAAAAGTGAAAAAGTATATTTAAACAAAACGCTTTTCACTAACAGGTCAAACAACGGATGTTCTTAAATACTGCTGACTGCCGTGGCGATTGCCAAATAAACGGATCACGAGATGAAACAAAATGAATCTTAATTATTAATTTAATACCAAACAGAAAACAATAAAGTTGCGGAAAAGATGCTATACCGTAAACATGAGGTGCAAAAATTGGTACACCATATCCGGATTTCGACAATTAATGTCTCTTCAGTGATGTTAGGAATCGAAACGGTATTTGGAAGGCCATATAATTTACCTCAATTTAGGATTGACTCTTAAATTTTGAAAAAAATAAAATAGGATGAACGGATTATATAAACTCGAAGGCAAAAATAATACAAGCCCAAACGAAAAAAAATATAAACAAGTCTAAATTGAAAACAACGTTCAAACCTATGATTGCGTTGGATAAAAACCGCAATTTTTATACGTGTGCAAGCAAAACAAATTTCTTGGTAGAGGGGTCTAAATACAGCACAAACAACATTTTTCAAAAGACCAAAAAAGTGAAAAAGTATATTTAAACAAAACGCATTTGACTAGCAGTTCGAACAACGGATGTTCTTAAACACTGCTGACTGCCATGGCGATTTCCAAATAAACGGATCACCAGATGTAACAAAATGAATCTTAGTTATTAATTTAATACCAAACAGAAAACAATAAAGTTACGGAAACGAAGGTATAACACAAACATGAGGTGCAAAAATTGGTACACGATATCCGGATTTCGACAATTAATGTCTCTTCAGTGCTGTTATGAATCGAAACGGTATTTGGAAGGCCTTATAATTTACCTCAATTTAGGATTGACTCTTGAATTTTGAAGAGTCGAAATAGAATGAACGGATTATATAAACCAGAAGGCAAAGGATATATATGGCATGAGTTTGAATCCCGGTGAGGGAAGAACAAATTTTTCTTCTGCAAATTTGCAGATTTAACATTGTTGTGCTGATATTTATAGTAATTATGTATATTTATATAGATATATACATACATTGTATTTATATAAATATATATTCAAGAAAAATTAAACACTTACTTATTTATAACAGTTTACAGATAGTAATTTTCTCCAGATTAACTTTCTGTGTATGAGTCGCAGCGAAATATTTGTGAAAAAGATATAACCAATTTATATTGCTGTAATTTTTTGTTTGAGGCGTATTACCTTTCAAATGGAAATTATTTACACTACATGCATTGATATTTAGATGAGGGGTTTATAATTTCGATGATATATTTCAAATTCTCTCTTTGGTGTTTATTATTTTTATGGGTTCTGCATAATTGAAATCGTTTACTTCATTAAATATAGTTGCATATATTAGAGATGTTATTTGTAAAATAATTTTAAAATGTTATATTTCGCAAGCTGTTTGTGTAATAAAAACGTATCATTACAGAAAATAATTTAGATTAATTTTAATTTCAAATAAAAACTTATTCTACTAAATCTATCCCGATACACACGTTCTCTTTATTAAAGACCAACAAATTCGATTATTAATCACATGTTATTGAGTTAAAGTGCATATTTTTAATATCATTGCCTAGTTTTTATACAATGTATTTTATTTCATTAGTTACTTCAGATCAATTAAATTGTTATCCATATAAATGACAAAGTATTTTAGAGAAGTAAGGTAGACCTCTTATTACCAGCTTTAATAAAGATAAATTATATACTCACTTTATTACAACTAGTATAAATTGCACTTTTTGAAGAGCCAAAAATTCTGTATATTTTATATTTGTTAGCTGTTTGTAATAACTCAGCGCTAGGAAAATACATGTGTACTTTAAAAAGAAATCTATGCGTATGTGAATACGAAAGCCGACGTAGAATGCTTAATCTTTTGAATCCAAAAAGAGCCATGACATTGTAATTGCAATACCTCCTAAGATATCACCAAATTATATGAATATTTTCATATAACGTAAGTATGGACGTCTCGATATCAGTAGAACTGAAAACTTGTAATCATGAATACATTTAGGTAATGTCATTGATCGGACGATTGCCACTATTAAACTAAGGATTGCTAACACAGTTTTCTGTGTGGTTCGCTTTATATCTACATGTTAGTTACTGTGTGGTGTACAAATTGTTTTACAGTAATAGTAAGAACTGTCATGGGAACAAGCTTTTGCATCAACGCATGCAACGTTAGTTATGGATTTACTAGAGTGCAGACTGTACTAAACACATGAAAAAAGATACGGAGTAGAAGTTATAAGATGTGTTAGAAGGTAATGGCGCTTAATTTACTCCTTGCAGACTCAATTTGCTTCACACTATTATATTTTCAAGAGAGACGATTAATAAACAAATACCCAAGTAAACAAGACTTATTAGCACTGAATAGCAAATCTTAAGGTCTTCTTGGTATACGAAAAGATGTTACCTGGTGCTGGGGAAGATTACCACAATATTTCAAGGATGATAATCTGATATGTTCTATGTCTTCTTTTTCCCTCATGTGACCTACCCATCAAAAGTTATCACAGGGTTTGTACTAAAAAGAGAGACATTCAAACTCATAAGCTGAAAATAGACTAACAACGCCATGGCTAAAAGAGAAAAAGACCAACAGACAAACAATAGTACACAAAACACAACTAGATTAAGCAACACGAACCCCACCAAATACTAACATGAGCAACACGACGGGAGCAGGATGTGCTTACCCTTTTAAAGTACCTAAGATGACCCCTGGTTTTTCGTGGGGTTTCGTTTTGCTAAGTCTTTAGTTTTCTATGTTGTGTTTTGTGTACTGTTGCTTGTCATTTAGTCTTTTTCTGTTTTTGTCATGGCGTTGTCACTTTATTTTCGATTTATGAGTTTGAATGCTACTTTGGTATCTTTCGCTTCTCTTTTATTAAGATTTGTGGTTCAATGTAAAAGTTTGATTTCTAATATTTCGCAAATCAACATTCACAAGATTATAAGAAAATAATATTGAACAAATTTCTTACGATCAAAGCGTTTTTCTGTAATTATCGTGATCATGACTTCTGACAAATGTTTTTTTTTAGCTGTCGGTAACAATGATTTCACGCAATTACAGTATGCGAGGATGTACATAAAACATGAAAATTTCCATTCATAAAATAAAAGATTTTTGAATAAAAGTTTAAAGCAATTAGTTTTGAATATGATTTGTATAATCACATCAAAAAGTTTCTTTTGAAATTATAATTAATGTTGAAAGGCAAAATCATTAAACAATCAACAACAACAGACTTTATATACCACGGGTATGGTGGTGGATGTAGATCACAGTCATGTATTAGTCTTTATATACCACGGGTATGGTGGTGGATGTAGATCAGAGTCATGTATTAGTCTTTATATACCACGGGTATGGTTGTGGATGTAGATCACAGTCATGTATTAGTCTTTATATACCACGGGTATGGTGGTGGATGTAGACCAGAGTCATGTATTAGTCTTTATATACCACGGGTATGGTTGTGGATGTAGATCACAGTCATGTATTAGTCTTTATATACGACGGGTATGGTGGTGGATGTAGATCACAGACATGTATTAGTCTTTATATACCACGGGTATGGTGGTTGATGTAGATTATAGTCGTGTATTAGCCTTTATATACCACGGGTTTTGTGGTGGATGTAGACTATAATCATGAATTAGGCTTTATATACCACGGGTATGGTGGTGGATGTAGATCACAGTTATGTATTAGTCTTTATATACCACGGGTATGGTGGTGGATGTAGAGCATAGTCGTGAATTAGTCTTTATATACCACGGGTATGATAGTGGATGTAGGATATAGTCGTGTGTTAGACTTTATATCCCAAGGGTATGGTGGTGGATATAGATCACAGTCATGTATTAGTCTTTATATACCACGGGTATGGTGGTGGTTGTAGAGCATAGTCGTGAATTAGTCTTTATATCCAACGGGTATGGTGGTGGATGTAGATTATTGTCGTCTATTGTTATTACCATACAACGGGTATGGTGATTGATGTAGATTATAGTCGTGTATTAGTCTTTATATACCACGGGTATTGTGATGGATGTAGATTATAGTCGTGTTCTAGTCTTTATATACCACGGGTATTGTTGATGATGTAAATTATACTCGTGTATTGGTCTTTATATACCACGGGTATGGTGGTGGATGTAGATTATAGTCGTGTATTAGTCTTTATATACCACGGGTGTGGTAAAGGAGGTAGATTATAGTCGTGTATTAGCCTTTATATACCACGGGTATTGTGGTGGGTGTAGATTATAGTCGTCTATTGGTCTTTATATACCACGGGTATGGTGGTGGATGTAGATTATAGTCGTGTATTAGTCTTTATATACCACGGGTATGGTAGTGGATGTATATTATAGTCGTTTATTAGTATTCATATACCACGGGTATAGTGGTGGATGAAGATTATAGTCGTCTATTATTTTTTTATATACTTCAGGTATGGTGGTGGATGTAGATTAGAGTCGTGTATTAGTCTTTATATACCACGGGTATGGTGGTGGATGAAGATTATAGTCGTCTATTAGTCTTTATATACCACGGGTATGGTGGTGAATGTAGAGCATAGTCGTTTATTAGTCTTCATATACCTCGGGTATAGTGAAGGACGTAGATTATAGTCGTTTATTAGTTTTTATATAAAACGGGTATGGTAGTGGATGTAGATTATAGTCGTGTTTTAGTCTTTATATACCACGGGTATGGTGGTGGATGTAGATCTTAGTCGTGTATTACTAGTAGTCTTTAGATTATAGTCGTGTATTAGTCTTTATATACCACGGGTATGGTGGTGGATGTAGATTATAGTCATGTATTAGTCTTTATATAGCACGGGTATGGTGGTGGATGTAGATCATAGTCGTGTATTAGTCTTTATATATCACGGGTAATGGTAGTGGATGTAGATTATAGTCGTGTATTAGTCTTTATTTAGCACGGGTATGGTGGTGGATGTAGATTATAGTCGTTTATTAATCTTCATATACCACGGGTATGGTGGTGGATGAAGATTATAGTCGTCTATTGGTCTTTATATACCTCGGTTATGGTGTTTGATGAAGATTATAGTCGTCTGATAGACTTTATATACCACGGGTATGGTGGTGGATGTAGATTATAGTCGTCTTTTGGTCTTTATATCCACGGGTATGGTGGTGGATGTAGATTATAGTCGTGTATTAGACTTTATATATCACGGGTATGGTAGTGGATGTACATCATAATCGTCTATTGGTCTTTATATACCACGGGTATGGTGGTGGATGAAGATTATAGTCGTCTATTAGACTTTATATACCACGGGTATGGTGGTGGATGTAGATTATAGTCATGTATTAGTCTTTATATACCACGGGTATGGTGGTGGATGTAGATTATAGTCGTGTATTAGCCTTTATAAACCACGGGTATGGTGGTGGATGTAGATTATAGTCGTGTATTAGACTTTATTTACCACGGGTATGGTGATGGATGTAGATCACAGTCATGTATTAGTCTTTATATACCACGGGTATGGTGGTGGATGAAGATTATAGTCGTGTATTAGACTTTATATACCACGGGTACGGTGGTGGATGTAGATTATAGTCGTGTATTAGCCTTTATATACCACGGGTATGGTGGTGGATGTAGATTATAGTCATGTATTAGTCTTTATATACCACGGGTATGGTGGTGGATGTAGATTATAGTCGTGTATTAGCCTTTATAAACCACGGGTATGGTGGTGGATGTAGATTATAGTCGTGTATTAGACTTTATTTACCACGGGTATGGTGATGGATGTAGATCACAGTCATGTATTAGTCTTTATATACCACGGGTATGGTGGTGGATGAAGATTATAGTCGTCTTTTAGACTTTATATACCACGGGTATGGTGGTGGATGTAGATTATAGTCGTGTATTAGCCTTTATATACCACGGGTATGGTTGTGGATGTAGATTATAGTCGTGTATTAGACTTTATATACCACGGGTATGGTGGTGGATGTACATCATAATCGTCTATTGGTCTTTATATACCACGGGTATGGTCGGGTATGGCGGTGGATATAGATTATAGTCGTGTATTAGCC